CATGGTACCTCTAGTAATAGGCACAAACAAAGCAACTGCTGTGAGAATGGTACAGGATTTGTCTGTGTTTCCTTTTCTTGTACGTAGGAGTCAGAGCTGACTTGACAGCACCTACCAACAACATTCCATGTGCTGTTACTGTTATTGTTGTTAAGTGCTGTCAAGCTGACTCCATCTAATAGTGAGCTTATGTACAACAGCTCTCAACTTTGCTCTATCCTGAACCAATTTTATCATTTCTGATATGCCTACTCCCATTACCCCAGTCACTCAATCAATTCATCTCGTCCAAGTTCTTCCTCTCCTGCCCTGTCACCCCAACCTCTTAAGCATGATGTCCCGCTCCAAGAACTGATCCTTCCTTACAACATGTCCAAAGTATGTGAGACCAAGCTTCAATCTGTTTGTTCTATTACCCATCCATGGTACATTCAATACTCTTCTCCAGCACAACTCAAAGGCATCAATTCTTCTTCTGTCACCCTTAAATGTTGTGCAGATATCTGATGCATAGCAAGTAATTATAAAGACTATGGCCTGGATTACGTACACCTTAGTCTCTAGACTGATATCATTGTTCTTCAGTACTATTGAGAGATCCCTGACAGCAGATTTTCACAGTGCAACTCATCTTTTGATTTCCTGGTTGCTGGTACCAAGAGTGTTGATTGTGGAGCCAACTAAGCTGAAGCTATTAACAATCTCAATTTCTTGTCTATCTATCATGATGCTGCTAGTCGGCCCAGTGGTGAAAATTTTTGTTTTCTTGATGTTGAGTTCAATCCATAGCAAAAGCTGCAGTTCTTGACCTTCTGCAGCAAATGTCTCAGGTCCTCTTTAAGTTTTGGCAAGCACGATTATGTCATCTGAATAATGCAGGTTGTTGATGAGTCTTCCTCTAATCCTGACGCCACATTCCTCCTCAAAGATCTAAGCCTCCTGCATGTTCCTTACCACATACAGATTGAAAAGATATGGAGGTAGGATGTATCCCTGGCATGCACCTTTGCAATTTTGAACCATACAGTGTTTCCTTGCTCTGTTTGGACAACTGCCTCCTGGTCTCAAATTACTTTGTGTTTTGAAACTTTTTTCAAATCACTAGCTCAGTATAAAAACTGACAGGACATAACCCTGATGCAATCCTTACCTGATTTTAAAGCATGCAATATCCCCTTAAACTGTCAAAGGACTGCTACTTGGTCTAGAAACATGTTCTCTATGAACAGGTAAGTGTGCAGGAACTCCTACTGTCCCAAATGCTATCTATAACTCATCATGATCCAACTGAATGTAACTGCATAGTCAATGAAACACACGTAAACACCGTTCTGATACTCGCTGCTTTCAACCTAGATCTACCTTCTGATATCATCGATGTTGTTGCTGTTGCTGTTGTGTGCCATCGAGCTGGAAACTATCCATAGCTGACTCACCTGCAGATTTTCAGAGGCAGTAAACTGCATGGGAGGAGACTGACCATTCTCTTCCTGAGGAGGAGCTGGTGGACTTGAACCGCTGTACCTTTGGGATTCTACCACAGCTTCTTCCTCGTCTACATCCAGCTTGAATTTCTGGTGGTTCCCTGCTGATGCACTGCTGCAACCATTTTTAAATGATCTTCAACCTAATTTTGTTTGCATGGGATATTAACGACACTGTTCAGCAACTTCCACATTCTGCTGGATCACCCTTATCTGGAATCAGCTCCTTTACGGATTTCTTCTGGTTCACTGGTTGAGTCTCTTTGTATATATAATGAGCCTTGTTTAATAAAACATCTCAGGTGGTATTGCCTTGATTCTCTGAGCCTTTTTTTTCACCAATGTCTGCAGGTCATTACTGACTAAATAGTATCCTTCCCAAAATAAAGGTAAGTAATTATTAAAAAAGATATGTATGATATGTAGATAGGGTCACTAAACATTGCAAGTGACTCAATGGCACATAACAACAACAACAACATACTATGACATGTTTGGAAGCAGGAATGGATTCCACTTCCTAAATAAGGTGCCTCCAGAAACTCTATGAATTTTGATAAATGTCGATAGTTGTAGAGGGGCTTCAGGTCTTTTGTTTATAGGGTCACTATGAGTCATGCTCAACTTGAAGGCAATCAATAACAACAACAATGATAAAAAAATGATAAAATGTGTAAGTCAAGTAACTATGTCTCATGATCTGATAAAAAGAAATAGCTGTAAAAGGAATAAGGGTGGAATGAAACACCCTAATCCAATATAAAGAGTTTCCCTAGGGAAATTTCCAATATTTCTAGCAATTTGTAATATCACTTATCTCACTATAGATGGAAGTGGAAGAAAGCAATCCAAGAGGAGGAAACCTTGGTATTACCAAGGCAGAATCATCAGGCTTGTAGTATGTCCTGTTGGACTCGAGTCTCTGACTTCAGAAGTTACTTGACACCCAGCAAGGCCAGGAAATACGGGGATCTCCAAGAAACACAAGATCACAGATGCTGAATGAAACAAGGACTTTCCTCCATAGTGACACAGAAAAAAGCCCTTTCCCTAGAGGTGCCACCCTAAATTTGAACTTCTAGCTTACATCCCATGGAGGCCAAAAGAGCAAATATATATGTCTTGGAGAGGATGCAGCCAGAGTGCTCTTCGGAAGCAAGAACGATGAGGCTTCACCTCACATACTTCAGGCATGTTGCTAGGAGGAGCTATTCCTTAGAGAGGGACATGATGCTCAGAAAGGCAGAGGGTCAGTGAAGGAAAGAAAGATTCTCGACTAGATGGACTGACAAAGTCATGTCACAATGGGCTTTAGTGTGTCAGGAAGTGTGAAGATAGCACAGGATGGGTCAGGGTTCAGATCTGTTGTTCACAGGGTCGCTATGGGTCATAGTCAACTTGACGGCACCTAACTACACTCTCTATTGTCTGCTATGCATCTGAGAATGGGACCATGACCAAGCATGACAGAAGAAGCATCAATGCCTTTGAGTTGTGGTGCTGAAGAGTACTGAACATTATCATGTACTACCAAGAGAATTGAGAAGGTCTGCTCTGGAGAGGGTAGAACCAGGCTGCCCCTTAGAGGTAAGGATTTTTGAAGCTCCATCTTATATATTTTGGGCATATTGCCAGGAGGGGGCAGTCCTTGGAGAAGGACCTCATGCTTAGAAGGGTATTAGGTCAGTGAAAGAGAGGAAGACCCTGGATGAGATGGATAGACAGTGACTACGGCAATGGGGTTAGGGATGTTGGAGACAGGTTGGCTCTGGATAGGGCAGGGTTCAGAGACACTGTTCATAGTGTCACTAACTTGTAGCTGACTTGATGGTATATAATAATAACACTGTTCTATTTGCTTAATTTGTTCTATTTGTTTTAATTTACTTGGCTCCACAGTTAACACTCTTGGTACAGCAGCCAAGAAATCAGGAGGCGAATTGCATTGAGAAAGTCGGCTGTGAGGGACCTCTCAAGAGTACTGAAGAGCAACGATGTCAAGCTGGAGACTAAGGTGCACCTGATCCGGGCTATAGTCTTTGCAATTATGTGCTATGCATCAGACAGTTGGACAGTGAATAGGGTTGATAGAAAGAGGATTGATGCCTTTGAGCTGTGGTGCTGGAGACGAGTGTTGAATATACCATGGACTGCTAGGAGAACAAACAGGTTTGTCCTGGAGAGGGTGAATCCAGAGTGTTCCCTGGAGTCAAGGATTCTGAAGCATCGTCTGACATATTTTGGGCATGTTGCAAAGAGAGACTGGTTCTTGGAGAGGGCCATCATGTTTGGCAAGAGTGGAGGGGCGGTGAAGGAGAGGAAGACCTTTGGTGAGATGGATTGATTCTGTGACTGGAGCGGTGGGAATAAGTGTGTTTGAGATGGCTAGGTTGGCACAGGATAGAACAGCATTTAGAGCTCTTGTACATAGGGTCGCTATGAGTCGCAAGCGACTCGATGGCACATAACAACAACAACCACCATCTAGTTGTGGTAGCAGCACTTAAGATGGCCTATTCATCCAAAAGTTTTGCTGCCAACTCAAATATCACCAACTGCTTCATGGGAGAAAGACGGGTAATCTCCCCTCATGTGATTTATAGCCTCTGAAAACTTGCTGGAGGGCCAGCTATCAGTTTCATATGATTTACTGCCTCTAAAAACCTCCTGGGGGATCAGCTCTGAACTAGTTGCAACTAGACCTCAATGAGTGTCATAACTGAAATAAGGGTCACCGATATTTCTTTTAATCAGATGAAACTGCCTGGAATATATGCTGTGTTATTGTCAGGTGCCACTAAGTCTAGTATGACTCACAGTGACCCTGAGAACAACAGATCTGAACCCTGTCCTATCCTGTGCCATCCTCACCGTCTTTTACACATTAGAGCCCACTGCCACAGTCACTGTGACAATCCATCTGGTTAAGAGTCTTCCTTTTTTCGCTCTCTTTCCACCTTCCCAACCTTGATGTACTTCATCAATGAACAGCCTCTCTTAGCAACACCCCCAAAGTATGTGAGGTGAAGTTTAATCATTTTTGCCTCTTTGGAATGTATGACCATCAGCCAATTCCTTTTGTTATTGTTGTTATGTTACCATCGAGTCAGAATTGAAGTGCAGTTCACCCTCCAGCAGCTTTTCAAAGGCAGTAAATTGCATGGGAGGAGACTATCCATCTTTCTCTCAAAGAGCAGCTGGTGGATTAGAACCACGTGCCTTTTGGTTGGCAGCACAACTCCTTACCACTAAGCCACCAATTCTCTGTATTGCATCCATTCTCTTGATGTTTCCTGCATCACTCGATATTTGCCCTTGGAATTATTCAATATTTTAACTTAAGGCTTAATTTTTTTTCTCCAGAAGTCTATGCCTGAGGCCTGCTGAGCGTGTTCTTCCCTCTCGTGGCACATTCCATAACCTCTACTTCATCTTACAAAACTGCACTTTGAAATCTTCATATTATCTTCCTCTCCCTTTAATTACTTTGTATTCAAGAGCAAATTTCAGAGTCTCTTCAGACGTTCATTTTGGCATTTCTTCCTTGTCAATGAAATGACCTTCTGCATCCTTCATGTGTGTTTTCTCTGATGTCTGCCCACAGCTCTTCAGTTTTCAGTCACTGGTGTCCAATATATCAAACTGACTCTTGAGATGGTCTCATAAATTTAGGTAGATACACCCAAGGTCAAATCTTGGCTTTTTTGAATTTGTTTTCATTTTCTTCAGCTTCAAAAAGAGATTGCAAAGCATACTCACTTTAGTTAGCACAATTAAATATTTTTT